GAGAAACCTCCAAAGTAAGTGAAGGGGATCTGAAGCAGCAAGAAAAAAATAAATAAAAAGAGGAAAAAAAAAGGTGGCCAGCAGCCTCAGTATCTGCTGCGTCAGAGTACTAATGAATGAGCAAAATAWGAAACTGCAGATAAATTCTGCTACTATTTTTTGCTTCCGTTATAGCATCTAATCCAAATAACCTGCAATCACTAACGCTGTGTGTTTGGCTCCGAAAACGATCAGAGATAAAGATCATGCAGCGTGAATAATTTTGCCCTGAAATCCACTCAAGGTACGCGGAATGACTTGGGTATTTTTAACAAGTCACGAGAAAAAGAAAACCCACAGCTAGACGCTAACTTAGCTGCAGATCTATTTATTTTTCCATCTGTTTTCCTTATAATCACTTTTATGGTTTTACAAGAAAYTTTAAAAGAGGCACATCCAAAGAATATGAGAGACTTCAACTTATTTGAAGATAAATGTCTTTACTTTCTAGAAGATCAAGTCCCCTCGTTTTCCAGCTCCCACAGTTTCCTGTGTGATGGATGGTCCATGGAAGTATTGGATCCAGTGGGAATAAATGTGTTCACAACAAGAGATGGTGTTACAGCAGCGCAGCTCCCAAACCTCACCTACTGTGAAATTCATTGCTGCTGAGGGGCATCTGACAGCTTCAGATGAAGCCAGGGACCAAATTAAAGCCATAACTCTGCTTTCAGCATGACACTCTAATGCTCGGCCTGTGGAAGGACGTTCAGGATCATGTAGTGACTAGACACTGCCCTTTGGATTCTGATCATTCATTCTTCTCTCTCTCCTCCTCTCTTCTTTCACATTTATGTATTACAATCTCCACTTCCTCTATCACTAACTCGCATCTTCAATTTACAAAATTAACCACTTCCTTGCGTCTTAGATCAAAATGTTGCCTCGTCGTGACGTATTTTCCATTTTGATCGTCTAATTTTCCATCTATTTCTATCCGCAGCCAGCGCTACTGCATGTGTAACCCCGACGTGGTGCAGCAGTTCCATAACCCTGACACCATCTTCATCCTGGCCTTCGCCATCATCCTGCTCAACACCGACATGTACAGTCCCAACATCAAGCCGGACCGCAAGATGCTGCTGGAGGATTTCATCCGTAATCTGCGCGGTACGAGACGCAACATCACACATGAGCCRCTTGTAAAAAAAAGAAAGAAAATAGCAAACCAAAGGGAGTTCAGTGATAGTAATTAGTAATTAGTTTACATAATCGCCTTAAGTAGGTGAATGTTAGTGTGTGTATGGGTCTCTTAAATGGGGTCAATGTGGTTTGGAGATGGATTTTTTATGCTGTGAGTGAGCTTTAAATCTAATTAATGTTTATACCAGCTTGATTTGGTCATCTTGACGAGTTCTTCGTTGAAAATCTGTTTTGTCTCTTCTCAAGAGACCTCAGTTTGATGAGTTACAGCTAAACTCAGTCTTATAAGCTGTACTTCCACATGGTGGACATATAAGTTATCCAAACTGGTTGCTTACGTGTAAAAGAGGACCATCAGCCTAACGATCAGTAGTTAGGCTGATGGTCCTATTTTACATGTTAAAGGAGAACTCGTCCGGAGGACCTACTTATCTTTTTTTTCCACCTTGAAATGCATCAGGACCCTGTTCATAGCAACAGCAGAATAATCTACTGGCAGAGAAGCTTTTGCATTTTTTTTCCATGTTTGCGACCCATATACTCAGCTCTACAGCTYATCCCACAAATGCATGTCCCTTACAAATGTGGCACCATTTAAAAAGGGAAGTTAACAGGTTTCTTGCCGAGAAGCATTGTTACAACAAAGAAACAATCTACCAAACACACATTTCCTTACTTTGTGCCAAGTTTACATTATATATACTGTTGGGCAGGGCAATTCAACTGGTGGCCAAATTGGATTAAAAATTTGGCAAGTCAGAAATGTCAAAATAATATTTGTTTTATTTTTTATTTTAATTTTTTTTTGACAAAAAATAATTATTTTAAACAGGAGGCACAATGTGTTATTTTTGTTTTTGCTATTGTTTTATTATCACTACTTTTATTATAGAGTTCTGTATGTTGTACTCATTGTCAGGACCAACAAAATAACCCAGGGCACAGGCAGGTTTCAAAAATCAAAAAGTACGAGCCCTTTAATGAAAACTCAAAGAGGCTGATAATACAGCAAAAACTCACTTGACTTGGAGGTAGACAAAGAACAAGAAGCAGGACACGACCAGGTAGACAGAACAATGGGCCTCATGCAAGAAC